ATGGGGCTTGACCCCTCCCTTTTCATAGGGGAAATTTCAATGGGGATGCTTACCGTAATTTGCAGGAATGCTATTTACATAAGGTACAGTATGTATATCTATATATATATACATATACATACACAGTATATTTAAAAACATCGGAACCCACTCACCCCCAACACGCAGCTGCCGGATCTGTGCGAGTGCCATCTATCTTACCCGGATTCCTTTGATGAGTTTGCCAGCCTAGATGGCCCAAATCCATGTTTTCGATTGTGCAACCTTTCGGGGGCCCGCTGTAAGCGAGGGCTTCCCTAGGCCCCAGGCAGCTTGCAGGCATTTGATGTTTTTCCTGCAGCAGGGTTACAGGGTCATTGTCTTCACGCCCCTGCTGCAACCAGGCCACTTGCGATCAGCCAAAGAGAAGTAGATGTAGGCATCGTTCCGCACATCCTCCGAATCCTTCTGATAGGTGGCCCTTCCATAGAGGTTCTGCGTCCTCTTGTAGCCACCGTACAACCTCGCAATGTGAGCCTCATAGAAGTCGGGTCCAGAGAGGATGATGGCATCAGGTGGGCTCGTAGGACACTCTGCCATGATGTCATGGTGCACGTGCGGGAGCGTCACGACGACACCAAAGGTTGCACTGGGAACAGTGAGAAGTGGCCCAGTGTTCTATGGGTTGTGGTTTTGAAGCTCTCTAAGTTAGACAGCACCCAAGAATTGGAATGTTCCCTACGCTGAAAGTGGCATCCAAACACACACACTCTCTCTCTCTATTTCTCTCTCTCTCTCAGTCTCTCTCTCTATTTCTCTCTCTCACTCTCTCTCTCTCTCTCTACAGTATTTCTCCGTGTGAAATGTGGAACTTGTTGGCTCAAGGCCCCGCAGCTTTGGCGGCTGACCCTGCAATTGAATCGAATTCTGAGAGCCAGGAAAAACAATGCAATAATGGCAGCCAGGTCGAGGGATCCAAGATGATCCAAGGACCATCGGATACACCTGTCCCATGTAACGAACAAAAGCCAAAGGCCTAAGTATCTGCATGTGATGCTTCACAGAAAGCACCCCACAGCCAACTGGGGCCATCTCTCATCACAGAGATTTGACTAGCTGACTAGCATGTCAGTGAGCTGCCATCCTTTTTCCGAGTCGCTGCGAGTTCCAACGTTTTTTCGATCTCCTTCTCCTTTCGGAGGGCCGTCCATCAAGCAGCTCCGCAGTGTCGCCATGCGTTCGGGACCCGTTCCCCACCACGGTCAGAGCTGTCTTTTGCCGTGAGCGCGTTGGAGAGGATGGCAGGGGAGCGTCCTCAGTGTTCCCTCAAGCGGCAGCCAAGGAGGATGGGAAGGACCACGAGCGCCGAGAGTCGCCACGGAGGTCTGAGAACCTTGAGGCAAACGGCTAACGCAAATGGGGAGATTTCTGTTTGGGTGCGAACCATTGCACCGCCAGAAAATAGATTACATACCATGTCACTAAAATGAAGAAAACACATCAAACCCTGGCACACAAGCTGTGGCCGCAAGCGCGATAAGTATCAGGATCCAAATGTTCCACTGCTGATCGCACCCCAAGTTCCTCAGCAATGAATCACATGCCTATTCTATCCTACTCTTTACTCTCATCCAAGGGTGGAGACCAGATTGTATGGTTGTCGGTTTGTGCATGCTTTGGCTAGCTAGCTGCAACTTTAGCTCACCGAAGTACAGATCATCCTGGTCCTGCTGTTGGTGCCATAAACAAACCTTGTGGACTATCTGACCTGCTGAGCATTGCTGTGGCAGAGCTGGTTTGACAGCGACAGGTCTGGTTGTGGTAGGGAACTGTTGCAATCTCGGATTCACCCTTCGCCTTGGGTGAAATGCCCGTCAACATGCACATTCTTGTTTACCAAAAAAAACTGTTTCAAAAGCTCTAGGCCGGGCATGTTTGGGTGCTAAGGTTGCCTACATAGGACCGAGCATTCGACCAACCAGGTCATGAAATCGGGCCAAATGCCAGACTGTTGGTTGTTCATTCCTCTACCGTATATGAACCTTCCCATGTGGCAAGGAAATGCCTCCCAAGTCATTGAAAGCTTCCGTTGGGTCTATGTTTGTCGCCAATCAACCGCCCAGACTCGATCTCAATTGCATCACCGCCTGCCGCATGCGCAAGGGCTCGTCGGAAAGCACCCACCGCACACCGCCGGCAGCTGCCTTCAACAAATCCTCCTCACAGCAACTGGCGAGTCAAGGCGCTGTTCGCATGACTCTAGCAGCAACCACACCCCACACCCACGCAGTGACACACCCACACACCCACACTTATAGAATTGCCTACTGATGTGAATGCGGTGCCACACGCCAGCCTAAGAACACCAAATCCTGAAAAACCAGGTGAGGGGGCCTGAGCGCCTGTAGTTAAAGGCCAAGGTCTAAAGCCACGAAGCGACGAGTTGACAGGATGACGGCGTAACGTACGTGACTGCAGCTGCATTAGCATTTTACTAAAAGGAAAGAAGGTGGCCACCAGCTGCGTCTTACAATGCGCCCAGGTGCACCAAGCAGGTACGTTTTCCTGATCATCCAGTGTGGAGCTTCGTTGGCAGAGGCCACAGCTGGAGCTCCCTCTGCCCCCCGCTCAAAACAATTCGAAAAGAATCCCTGTGACTACAAGGGGCACACACACGCGCCTCCCTGAGGGGAGGCTTCTCATTCATAGTAGCATCCTTCAACTCTAGCAAGGCCAGGAGCCCCTAGTAGCGTCCCACTCTAAGGTCCTGACAGGAGGGAGGGGTGGGGAGAGAAGAGAAAAAGAAGCAAGGAAAAGGGGAAGAAGGTGTTCCCAGCTAGGACACAAGCGTCCAAGGACACACCAAGAGAAGAGAGGAGAAGGGTTCCCAGCTATGACGAAAGCATCCAGGGACACCCAAACAAGAAGGAGGGAAAGGAAAGGAAGGAGAAAAGAGAGAGAGAGAGAG